CTTTTTATTTTGTTAATAATTTCGTACTCTTTATTTAGTGAAAAACTTTGCGTTTTTGTTTTTCCATTCTAAAACGATTTACATACATAACGCGGCAAATAACAAGTCACTGCTTGTTTCTCGCTCTCACTAATGTAAACAACTCTGCACGATTTGTGTTGCTGAGCGTGGAAGTTCGTTATAAACATAAAGTGAATATACAACTAACTTAAAAAGTGATCGTTATAACCACTAAAAAAAATACGTTGGTCTTAATGGACGACGTTTCAATTAAAGAAAAAAGTTTGTTTTAACCGAAAATTCACTATAACCGGGTTCATTAGAAGCAGACTTTACTGTATATGTATATTATCACACAATAATTTACTTTGAAATTGTCTCCTTATAAAACCTAATAGCTATTACAATTAAATAAATACTGACTTGATACAATGAAGCATAACACTTACAGAATAATGCCACAGACTGGCAATGCCAAATACTTTTAAAATAGACAATATCTCCACTTAGATAACACTTGCATAAATATTTCAATTAAACATACATAACTCAATAGACCCTAAGCAACAACTTCCTAAACACTATAAAAAGGACAGCCTACATCCTAATATGGCATACACGGTCTACGCTTCTACATTGATTTATCGCAATTTGAAAAGATTGTATTGAACTGTTTCTCATCTACAGTGATAAAAATGGATATGGCACAAAATTTAATAGTGAAGAGAATAAATAAAAGTTCATTCATACTAAACATTATGTCGCACGGTAACTTAAATTACTTAAACGATGGAATGATTTTAGGCTTGTTACCGGGTGAACTTAAGATGAAGTAACTCCTTTCCTAGCAACTAGCAAACTTAGCGTAGGGTTCTTCTTTATGTAGCTGACCGCTTTTTTGTGAGTTACCATCGTAAAGTCGTACCCATTACATTGCAGAATTTTGTCATGCACTCGTAGCCCAGCTCTTGAGGCTGGGCTTGACTCGTGAACTTCAGTCACATAAATACCCTGAAATTTTCCATTTTCAATACAGATTTCAGTTTGTAGGGATCAGACCAACTCACGTTGTCAGTGTACCCCTGGGGGCTTTTATTAAAGTCTTGATCAATTCCACCACCAATTTTAAAGCCACATCTCATTTGGTCCCCACACACTTCTTTTTGCAGTGTTATTGGAATCTGTGAGAAACCAATTTGATTACGACCTTACCCTTGGTGATGGACACCGTTTGGAGAGGGTTGCCCATTCGAATAAACACGAATTATTAGAAAATACGTAAAAATAAACATGAGTCATAAAGGGGAACCAGAAAGGTACCTACGCTTAAGCATTCCATAGCCGTTCCAGCTTGGTGCTGAAATGCCATTTTCGCACACATATTGATGCTTTGAAGTTTTCTTTTTTATTTCCACAAAGTTTTTATGTTGAGAAGGACTTTAGAAACTCACGCCTATCAAAAACACAAGCACCACAGATCATCCACAGATCACAGGTTATAGATCGGAGTGCATTTGAGACTGGAATGCTATTTGGCGCTTATTCCCAGCGGTTGCTTGACAAACTAGACTCGAATTTCCAATGTTGGCAGAGAAAACGGCAAAATTTAGCGGGATATTTGAATTCAATTCAATTTAATTGTGAACTTATACTAGTGCTTGGAAAAATAAGTGTCTCATAATTTTGAGGGGTTAACTACTTCGAGTCAAGCTTTAAAAGTCTGAAGGATTCTGAGGAAATTGACATCGTCGACCTTGTTGATCACAATTACGAACACAGCACTTAATCCATTCCATTGTTGTAAAGCACAGAGAAACAGCACAGTTATCACAGTATAACAGATAAAATTGTACTCTGAAGCTTAGACAGTTACTCAAGCACGGTAAAAATGATATATTAATGATTCCAAAATTGCATAAATTCAATCTGATATCTGCAAAACAAAGGCAGAGAAACGAAAAGCGATTGTATGATTCTCTGGCCATAACAACTGCGGCTCTGGTGGCTGCTTCCGCCAAAATCTTCTTTTGACAGGATCGCAAAACTGTCCCGCACACTCTTTACTCGTCTTGTGTGACTGTCACAGGTGACTGTCCTTTTATTTTTTACTCTTGGACTACAGACTACTCACTATTAAAGTCTAGTAGTCTCGGATTAATAATAATGGATTTAATCACAGGATTTAATTTTCAATTTCACTGATTGAGTTTCAAGAAAATAATAAGTGGTTTTCCTCTAACCTCCAACTGTACGAGTGAACAACGTCTATTTCAAAACATTCAAAGATGGTTCGAAAATGTTGATTTGCTCAAATTTGTTAAGAGCCTTGTCTCGCAAATCCAAAACCCAGATTCTTCGACAAAATTCCTCCACAATATTTGCCCTTTCCTCAGGTACCCAAATCTGCTGAAATCTTCAGCAGTAACATTTTTTTATTACTACCATATAGATATAGTAAAGATGTTCACAGGACTGGGCAAATGTGGGGTCGCAGTAATTCGAGTATCGGGCCCAGAGGCCGGAACTGCTATCAGCAAACTGACTACTCTGAAGGAACTTCCTCAGCCTCGCACTGTTGTATTGAGAAGCATCAAGCACCCAACCTCAAACGAACTTATCGACAAAGGGCTTATTTTGTGGCTACCAGGTCAACTCGCAGTAAACTCTTTGAAAGCAGAGCCGAAAATCATAGAAATTGGTTTTTATGTTACAGGTCCAAGGAGCTTCACTGGTGAAGACAGTTCTGAGTTTCACGTCCACGGTGGTGTTGCAGTTATTAATGGACTGCTGGACGCTTTGGCAAGCATGCCCAAATTCAAGTTGGCGGAGCCCGGAGAATTTACACGTCGAGCGTTTTCAAATGGAAAATTAGACCTTACAGAGGTCGAAGGACTGGCCGATTTGCTGCAAGCTGAAACAGAAGCTCAGAGGAAACAGGTTAGTTGTAAAGCTTTAAGCCCGTCGAGATCGTTCCATTTCTACCTATTAAAATTTCTACAAATGGAGACTCACACCAAACCCCACAGAGAATCAACTCCTACTGACAAATCACTCTATTAAAGCGGCACACGCAAAATATTTGCTATTGCAAAATGTTGATTCTCTGAGATCATTAAAACTGCAAAACCCTGATCGCTGCACTACAAGGCCTAAAGTTTCAGTACAAGAAACCGACAGACCAAACAGCACATACAGACCACAAAACCAATCGCATTAAGACTTATTACGAAAATAAGGCAAATATATGAATGAGACTGATACAGTTACATCAGATTTTAAAATTCATTCAAACTCATAATTGGTAAACATTATATTTATTTAGGTCTTTAAAGACCTAAATAAATATAAATTTTGAGTTGGAATGAATTTTAAAATCTGATGATGGCGGAGTTGTCTCGCCGAAACGATATACAAAAAAAATTGTTTCACACTGTGACTAGAGCCCAGGCAAGAAAATAATATCATAACAATTGTTATTAATATATATATAATTCCCAAGGTACTTTTTTGCAGGCACTGTTACAAGCAGATGGATCCCTTAGCAAGTTGTATGAAAACTGGAGGCATGTTTTGAAACATTCTGTGGCTAATCTTGAGGCGCATATTGACTTCGAGGAAACGGAAACTTTAGAGGATGGCCTTGTTGATAACGTTGTTAAAAACATAGAAGTACTTTCCGCCGATATAAACAAACATATGAGGGACGGCCGGAAAGGGGAGATTTTACGACGTGGTGTAAAGGCTGTTATTCTTGGAGAGCCAAATGTAGGTAAAAGCAGCCTGTTGAATCTGCTGTGCCAGAGGCCTGCCTCTATCGTGACTCCCATCTCTGGAACTACCCGGGATGTGATTCAAGTCACGCTAAACATCAAAGGGTATCCATTGGTTTTATCCGACACTGCTGGGCTTCGGAAAGATTCGCAGGACGTCATTGAATTGGAGGGAATGTCGAGGGCAGTTGATATCTATCAGAAGGCGGACTTAGTCATTTTAGTTATAGATTTTCAAAACTATTCCAACTGGTGCCACCGCCATGCCGCTGACTTCAAAACCTACATCCCGCATTACATCAAAGAATTGGGCGTTTCAGACCTAATAAATGACCCAAAGGACGGTCAGACTATGTTCAAGAAAGAGTGTGTAGTGGTGTTGAATAAAACAGATTTGGATAGCAAAGCCGTTTGCGACAAAATCCATAAAAACATTGTAAAGTTATCGTGCAAAACGGAAGCGGGCATTTCGGACTTAGTGACTGTTCTGGCTCAACATCTGAAAATCTTGTGAGTATCAGTGAATGGGAATTGCAGTTTGAGGGTGGTTAAATTTGTGGGAAATTTCTGATTAGATGCGGTGAACCATCGCAGGAGCATCCAAGTATGAACCAAGTGAGACATCGGGAGCAACTGCTGAAATGCCAAAAACACTTGCAATCATTTCTAGAACACGCCTCAAAAAATAAACCGGATTTGGTGATAATGGCCGAGCATCTTCGCAAAGCCCTCACAAGTCTGGGGAAGCTCATTGGCACGGTTACATCCGAAGAAATCCTCGATCTTATCTTCAGAGAGTTCTGTATAGGCAAATAGTCAATAAACAAACAGTTTTATTCACAACATATTTGTCTTAAAATATTGATAATAGATATCCTAGTATTCCATAGAAACGTGATAATTGGTTAAAAGTAATTTACCATAAATCACATTTTTTTTCTGGATTCATTGGCGAACCGCTCGGGCAACTAAACACGTCGGCAAATTCGGCGGAGTTGCTTAATGCCCCGATCACTCTGAAACATTTATGTTAACGGACAAATGAATAGATGTCGGGGCATACTGGTTTGAGATGAAAATTTTTCTTACCGAAACATTCCCGGTGCATGAACGGACGTTTTTAATTGGTTCCGTGCGCTTTCGATTCTCTGTTTTCCACACCAGACCTCCAGAAGAAATTAACATTAAAAATAAAAAAAACGTTAATGTCACCAAACCTACCTGAGCAAAATTCAAGAAAAATAGCTGAGCACCGGTCATGGTTAAGCCTGGCAGAGTTTCATCTGCATGCGTATTATTCAAAGCCCATAGTTGATAAGCCTACAATTTGGTGGAAAGACCGACAAGTTCTCTATAGAAAATTTCAAAAAAAACCTTAAACGACTGCTTCAGACCTCCATTATCGGCGATATTTTCTCCCTGAGTTATTACGCCATCGAGGGGTGCTTGCATTCCCGGCAGCACATACTGCCCATACTGATCTGGTTTCAACAAGGGAGGAAATATGAGAAACCGTTCTGTAGACGTACGTTTCTGGATTCACTTACCTATAATGCATTGGGATTTTTGAAAAAACTTCTCAATGGCATCATTGGTCCACCAAAGTTGCAAATTACCCTCGTGATCAAATAATCGTCCTTTATCGTCAAAGGCGTGAGTGATTTCATGTCCGATCACCACTCCAATGCCCCCAAAATTCAAGGACTTCGGAAAGAACTTGTGATAAAACGGTGGCTGCAGAATTCCAGCTGGAAACACTTTAAAAGCGTGAATATCGACTTAACTCTATGCTGTTTACTTACTTATTTGGTTTTTATTTCTGCTGTAATAAGCATTTATAACCGCAGGCGCTGTACTCCAAAGCGACTTGTCCACAGCCAAACCCACTTTCTGCCGATCCTGCCTGCTTGCGTGCCGCAGCACGCTAAGGACGTTTTCAAAAAAAAACTGCTCTTCTATTTTCACGTCATTGTAGAATAAATTCAATGAGGTTTGATTTAGCAGGAAGTTCGGAAACCCAATTTTCCTATTCATATTTTTAATTTTCATCTCTGCGAAGTTTTTCGTCTCATCGTCCAACCAGTGCTTCTCACGTAATGTGCTAGTGAAACTATGCATAATTTCTTCAGTGATTGCAATTGTCTGGAAGTGAATGTTGCAGAATTTCTATACATTTTTAAGGTCCCGTCTTACGTCGACTTTGCTGGTTTCGTCAAAATAATGTTTAACAAATAGCGCCCCGACAGCCATACCCAAGTGCATGTTGGTTTGGCTAACACAGAATTGCCATCTGGGCGGTTGCTGTTCTCTACCCAAGAGGGCTTGGAAAAACCTGTAAAAATCTGGTTTAATGGAATTTAGAAAAATGAAACTCAGTGTTCGAACAAGTGTTCAAAACCACTTACTTTTGCTCGGTCTCCTTGAACCGATGGTCCAAATGGTTAATCCTATGCCTTATAAAACGCCATAATAAATAATTTTGAATAACTCTAAAACATGTTGATAAAATTATGACTTTTCTGTTCAAAGGGGATATTGTTCATATGTTCATACTTCAATAATTTTTGCTAAAATACTACACTATACTCAGATGATATTTATAAAACACAATTACCTTGGATTAGTTTTACTTAAGAGATTTAATAGTTGGCGTATATATCTTGCGCAATAGCATGCAACTGTTGATTTCAAATCAATTTCTTTACCTAAAATAGTGGTAAAATAGTTTGACCAAGCAAAATCTGGATAACGCACCATCAATGTTTCGATAGTAAATCTTTGATATATGTCGGTAAGGTTTCTTCTTTCTTCCCATGGCGACAATATCTTCAAATAGAAATATTTTTTGCTCAGTCTTTTCGAAGACGAAAATTGATACTCACAGACGCTAATTTCGTTTCAAACTCAACTAGATCATTCACGTCTTGGAGGGCGACACTAGTTTGAGCACCCAACAAGTAGGCCACCGATAAAATGAACGATTTATATGCTTTAGTGAATCTAGAGTTACTTGGATCAAGAAAATAGTCTCTATTTGGGAGTCCCAATGTAGTCTGGTCAATCTACAAAAGCCACATAAATATTTAAGCCCATTTCTGCATCAGCTTCTTACGTGTATGATGTGCTTGTTAGAGTCCTTTATATCAGGACCGATCCATTGGGAAATCAAAATATCATTGTTAAGCAACCTAAGTCTAGAAAGAACCCACATTAAATCAAAATCATCTTTATTCCACTCAGGGCTCGCTAGTGGCCATCCACCCAACCCTTCTAATAGTTTTTTTAGTGGTTTTTCTCCTCTTTTGTCGATTTTCTCTAAAACGACATTTACGCGTTACATGGGTTATTATTCGACAACAGCGGCTCACCTTTGTTCATGCAAGATTTGTAAAACCTTTTGGCCTTGATAATAGCATCGGAATCATCATATATCACATAATTTTCTTCTATGAAGTCTTTTGCATTATGGTAGCTCGACTTATCAACATCTGCAGTCTAAATTTTTTTTAAAGCTTTTTCTATTAAAAATTGCTACACTTACCTCAATTTCGACATTGCTGTCTAAAAGTTCCTTCAACACCAAGTACAACCTTTCTCTAACCATTTCAAAAGTATCGAATACTGTTTTGTCTGGAGGAATTTCGAAATATTTTTTCCAGTTTCCGCATGCATATTCGTAAAAGTTGTCGCACGGATTTACGGAAAAATTCATATATTTTCTCATTAATTTACCTTGAAAGTAGTAATGGCAACTAATGTTAAATACTCTTGTTAATTAAACGCGAGAATATTCTTACTTTGCTCTTCTCTGACTTCTTGTAAGTTATAGCTGTTAGTCCATACATTTCTTACAGCGTTGCTTAATTCCATCGGACTTTCATTCAATATATCTTGTTTAGTGTTATTCCTTTTGTATCTTTTTCGCTGCTGAAACACAGTCGACTTTTTATACGAGATCCAAAACTTGTTAAAACAGTTTTTCAGCTTTCGATGTTTGTCTTGATTTTCTCTGAAGTAAGCGAGAAAGTTGCTTCGGAAATACGGCGGATTTTCGTCGAGGTAATCGAGTTTTGGTGCTCTGTTGATCTCAGTTTCCAAAAATAATTCTCTGTCTGGATGAAGTTTCCGGTAAAGTTTGTAACAATGTTTAAAAAGGTGTAAAAATCTTTTTTCTGGTATTGCGCATCTTTTATATCGGGTCTTTACGTCTGAACTTAGAGAAATGTTATTCACAAGGGAAAGGTTTTGGGAATGTGATCCAGGCTCTAGAAATGTGAGAGTCTTCATATTTAACGTAGTCCTAACCGAGTTTTATTTACCTGGATTTCCTCCAATGTTATACTTTGTGATTAGTATGAGGACTACCACGATTGGTAAAAGTATTATTGGGACAAGCGCCAGACGTTTCAACCATTTTTGCCACTTTTGCTGATGACCAACACACCACCTGGAACGTGATTAAGAGAATAGCAATATCAGTTTTCTGTTCGGGTCGCATGATATGCAAGCTTTGAACCTACGTGTAAACGGGATTAAAACTCGACATGTGTTCGAGAGTCTGTGGATTGTTTCATTTTATATAAGTTCAGGGTTGTAATAATTTGCCAATTTATCCCCACTTTGATTGGCAAAGTTGAGAATTGAACGGCGAAGCAAGCATGCGTGTACATTTTTTCTATTAAAGATTAATGACATGTACATACCGTACTCTTCCACTATCCTGGTGGGGCACCAGCCTGCAGGAAACCACTTTTTTCCTGGATGTATTTTCCATCACTTTCAAATAGGTCCGCACTCCACCAAATCTACCGAATAAAATGAATACGACCTTTAGACAACTTTAAATAATCGGGTCATTTTGATTTATTAACTAAGGCGGACTTTTATTGTAGATTTGCTACAGTCAGTGGTGACACCATGCGCACCTATTTTCGATCATTTTGATGAGTTACTCACCGTTTAAAGACATGTTTTTTTTAATGTAGATGGAGTTTCAAAGTGAGAGTTTTATTCAATGCAGAAGTGATCCAAATGAGGCTTAAGATGAATCAGTGGCGAATCCGGGATTTTGATCTAAGGGAGGCTGAGGTCATAAAAAGTTACATCGGTGCATCGACGCACCGTGGGGTATTTTAAATTAATTTCTGATCGGCATTGTTTTTTATTCAGATATTTCTTACAATCGGATCATATAAAAAGTTCTAAATTTAATATTTTGAAGAATGAACAGTTGGCTGCATTCTACAGGGTTAGTCAAAATTTTCGCAACAGCCAAATATTTCAGAGAGGATTGCGTGCAATTTTGTACAGCGGAATTTTTAAGTATGCTTGATCCAATAATGGCCAAACTTTCATAATTGAAGGAACATATTTTTATTTAATGTTTAAATTGCCTGCCTTTTAACTAACTAAAAACATATTATTTTCATTTACAATAGACTGACTGCAACTTTAAGAAAAAACTGTAGTCTGGACAATTTCGCCCATATT